TATATAAAATTTAAAATAACCATAGCTACGTCTAAAATAACCATAGAAATAACCATAGATAGATCTAAAATAACCCCAAAATAAATATTAAATATAAAATATATAAAAATATTCAATAATATATCAATATTGAATACAAAAATAACAATTTATATATGTTTATAATTATTTAAAATAAATGTTTTTTAGATAATGTAAATTTTGTTGTATAGATGAATAGTTCAATATGTAAAACCTAAAATGTCTGTACCATATTTTTACGGTAAATTTCTGGCAATCACAGCTACATTTTTTTTTGTAAATCTCACATGTATTTTTTTTATAGTTCAGATTACACGTATCAAAAGTGAACTGTTGTTTTTGTCTTTTCCATGACTGTTTTACGGTGGCCGAGAAGTGCAAAACAAATCACAATTCTGAAAATAAAAATAACAAATTACAAACGCAAATGCTCTTAAAAAACTAAATAACAATTCAGAAAACACAACAAGAATTCAGAAAACATTATAACAAGTCAGAAAACACAATGACAAATTCTAAAACAAACTAACAAATCAGAAAACACAACGACAAATCCGAAAACAAATGAACAAGTCAGAAAACACAACGACAAATCAGACAAACCGGAAGAGGTAGGTATAGTTTGAGACAGCGCCATTGGTTTGGGATTACTTACCGCTGACTGGACGAGACATCTGTCAATCAACGTATACAGGAAGAACCAGCCGAAGAACAGCAGAGTCGTGGTAGAAAGTTCGGAGATGGTATTAAAGTAGCTCAGTTTAAATGTATTGTATGAATTGCCCTTACTATGGAATAAAAAATACGGACTGTCTGTTTACACTTAGTGCAAATAGCCCGTCTTGTTGGTAGAGGCTATGTACAGTAATTCCTCCCTGCAACGTGTGATTGGGCTAGTCAACACTTTAAAAGTGGCTGTAAAAAATCAGCTCCAGTGGTGCAGATGGATAAGCTCGTGTTGTAGGCTATTTGACGCAATCGACCTGGGTTCGATTCCACCTTTTGCCAAACTTTTTTTTCCTCCCTTTTCAAATCTCGTATTAGCAATGGATTCTATTTACACTAAGTGAAAATAGCAGTATTTTTAGCAATATGCTATTTACACTAAGTGCAAATACCTATTTAAAATAGCAGGATTTCTATGTATACTACTTGTTGCAAATAGTGGCAATTATCTGCACTTCAGTATTGTAGTACATTATAAAACAGTATGCAATAATAACGTATTGAGTGTAAATTATTATTTTAATTTAAATTATTAAATGGATGCCACCTTATTGAAACAATAAAACCTACCCTAACCCTACCCGATACTTTATTTTCAACTTTTTGATTATTTCCTTCATTTTTATTGAAAATAAATGCCTTTACGATGTGATACGAGATTTGAAAAGGGAGTAAAAAAAGTTCGGCAAAAGGCTGGATAGAACCCGGGTCGATCGCGTCAAAAAGCCAACGACACGCACTTAACCATCTGCGCCACTGGGAGCTGATTATTTTCAGCTGCTTTTAAAGTGTTGACTAGCCCAATCACACGTTGGAGAGTGGAATTACTGCCAACAAGGCGGGCTATTTGCACTAAGTGTAAATAGACACTCCGTATTTTTTATTCCATAGTAAGGGCAATTCATAAAATACATTTAAACTGAGCTACTTTAATACCATCTCCGAACTTTCTACGACGACTCTGTTTTCTGACTTGTTATGTTTTCTGAATTGTTGTTGTGTTTTCTGAATTGTTCTTTTGTTTTTTAGACTTGCATTTGCGTTTGTAATTTGTTATTTTGTTTTCAGAATTGTGATTTGTTTTGCACTTCTCGGCCACCGTACTGTTTCCCTCAACTTGGGAGAATATATTGAAAGTTATTAAGGTGTTCTGCGGCTGTAAATACTCCTGTAGTCCTGTCATGTCCGTGGCATTTCCCTGCGGTGCCAGAGAGCTGACCGGTCTGAGGGTGGCCCAAGTCAAAGCAAGTACCCTGATTTACAGCCTGTCCCGCTGTATACAATAAACCCAGACAGAATGCCATTTGTTTGGCTTCCTCTCCCTTCAAACCAAAGGAAAATATTTTGCATTTTATTTTTAAAAGTCCAGTTTCCCAGGCTCGTGTCCTGAGGCTATTTCAGCGGGGTTGAAAGGGCATCCCCGGCGTCTCGTCGTCGGGGGTTTCTCAGACAGGGTGCGCTTCAGTTACGGGCGACATGTTTTTATGCACGACTCTCGAGCCAACAAGGCCTGTTTTCCACCCTGCGGGAACCTCCTACTGTCTGTTAATTAGAGTGTGTAAAGTTTACAGCCTTTGAGAAGCTGTTAAGCGGCAAAGAGTGGCGAGTAAAGGCAGCCTGACTGTGAAATTGAATTATGAGCGTGTGTCACTGAACAAAATAGAAAGTGTGCGAGAGAGAGGAGAGAGTGAGAGAGAGAGAGAGAGAGAGAGAGAGAGAGAGAGAGAGGAATCCCTGGAGCTCAGAGACTTCCTCTCTCTTGCTCTCTCTCACTATCTCTCTCTGTGCTGTGTTTTTAGTGAGCGAGGTAGACCGTATAGCCTCACTAGATGCTGAATAGTGAATGGTGAATGGAATATGCGCTGCGCCGCTGTGTGTGTGTGACTCTAACATCCCGTCTGTCTGTCCACAGATGCTCCCACAGCAAGAATGGGACCACAAAAGAGGCGCCCGAGGATCTCAGGTCAGTGTTTGGATGATTGAAAAAGAGCTGATGAATGTCTGAGAGTGAATCTGAAAGAACCTTTCTGGGTCATATTTCATCCTAAAATCTTTGCATTGTGACATTTTTTTCAAAACAATTAATCATATTTCTCCCAAAAATGTGTTATTAAAGGAAAATGAAGGCTATTTTAGAGTCATTAAGGTTTTACCTGCCTTGACATGATTTAAACAACAACAAAAAATAACTTTATGCATAATCCTCCCAAAATTCGCAAAATAATTTTTTTTGAATGATTTTACTTAAAGAAATTAAAGCCCGTTTTAGAGTCATTAAGGATTTATTTGCATTGTGACATTATTTTCTAAACAATTAAGCATATTTCTCCCAAAATTCACAAAAAAAGAAAGTATATTTTTATTTAATGAAAATGAGGCCAATTTTAGTCATTATGGTTTTATTTGCCTTATGACATTATTTTCAAAACAATTAAGAATGATTCTCCCACAATTTGCAGAAGAAAAAAATATAAAATTGTATTTTAAAGAAAAAAATAAGAATAATAATTTAAAATCAATAATTAAGCCTATTTTAGAGTCATCAAGGTGCCTTGTAACATTATTTTACAAACAATTATGCACATTACTTCCAAAATTCACAGAAAGCCTCTTAATATCATGTAAAAAATAAAAAATAAATAAATAGTGTATTCATCATGGTAATATTTGTGAAACTGCTTTTTAGTTATGCTTATTGAAGTTTAATAATAATAATAATAATAATAACAACTGTATATTGTAGTTAAAAAAAGAATAACTAGAATCTAATGAAGAATCATTAAACATAATGCACTAAAAGATTGGTGATGAAATAATTTTCACTCAGAAATTGCAGTATATTTCACAAATAATTACAAGGAAATGGTAAGTAATGCATTGAATTAATCGTGAACTTTTGAAGTAGAAAAACTCGAATAGTATTTTTTTAATACGCTCCAGTATTCTTTGTTTTTATTCAACTTCAAAAATCATTTACAGTGTAAGAATAAAAAATAAAAAAAACATTCAGACGCAAGGAGATTTTCAGCATTTCATTCATGAAAATGTGTGGTTAATTTGTGCTTAATTGTCAAGAAAATAATGTCACACTCTAGTTCTTTAGTTCTTTATGCTAAAGATCATTTCTAATCTTCTTTTGATTTTGGGGTGAAGTGGGGTCTGTGAGTTGTTTGTTTTGTTGCTAGATCTCTGATTAATCATTATGACTACAGTGTAAATGAGTCTGTGAGTTGGTGACCTGTGTGTGACCCCGTGCTTGTAACTTTCAAACATCCTACTGACATCATCACACTTGGCCTGCTCTGCTGCTCCTTTGAACTCTGGAACTTCAAAATATGAATATGCTTGTGTAATATAAGGACGTGCATCAGAAACATTCTTTCATGCTAAAAAGTGTTTTAAAATAAAATAAAAATACAATAATAATAATAATGTACCCAGGTGAAAAATGATATTAGAAACAAGAAAAATAAATTGATTATCAGTTAAAAGAATATTTTAAGAAGATTTAATAATAATAACAATAATAATAATAGTGTACCTGGTTGAAAAATTAAATTGGAAACAAGATAAATGTATGAATTGATTACAAAAGATTGGTTCGATGAACATGATGAACTAACAATGAACAATTCTAAAGCACTCTTAGTTAATGTTATTTTCAACCTGTATTAATGTATTATTCAAATTAAAAGTTGATTCTGTTAGCATTATTTAATAGACCTGAATTTACAATCAATGAACTAACTAATGTACTGTCATTGTTAGGTAATCTTAGTTAATGCATCAAGTAATGTCAACTAATGGGATCTTATTATAAAATGTTATACATTTTATAATATATATAATGGATAATTTATTACTCAGTAGATTATGATGGTATGACATGACCCAGAATGACAGATGGAATGATAATTTTGTGTGTGAGTTTACTATTTTTTATTCAGGAACTCTGCAGCGTGTATGTGTGTGTGTGTGTGTGTGCGTGCGGATATGCTAATGTATTTGCACTTTTGATCTAGTTCTCCTCACAGCTGGGTGAGAGCAGGGAGTAGTGGTGACGTCTGTAGTGACGTGTTTCTGTTCTCAGTGCCTGTGTGTTTGTCCCTCGGTGCTTCATTCATTCCCAGCAGTCTAACCTCCACCTATTTCTGCCTTTGCCTGCGACAGAGAGGAAGCTCTCGAGTCCTTTTCTTTCCGTCGGGTCGCTCTGCGCCGTGGCATCGCAGCACGGCAGAAGGACGCCGCTTCCATCCGTAGCACTAGCAGCCGTTTACGTGAGGGGATTTGTGTGAAAAGCCGCTGAGGTGAAACTAGACCGCCAGAGAGCAGTTAAGACTATTGCAGCGCTGACAGAGACATACGTTAAAGCGTAATACACGGCTGAACATGACCTTAGAAATCAGCTGTCAGTCAGAGAGTCTCACAATAGAGCTGTCAGAGCGTGCCGGGCCAGTGAGGGCGCCTCCCATAATACACTGGGAGAAGCGTGAGGCCGTGAGCTGATAGTGCGAACAATGCACAGGAGGAAAGAACGCTGTGTGTGTGGAATCGCCATTCTTAGTGAGCGTCTTGTGTGTGTGTGTGTGTGTGTGTGTTTATGTATGCAATCGCTAATGCAAACACAGTGTTCGGTCCTGTTGGACAGGCAGCAGTAACAATAGGTGAAGATGCTAATGCACTACTTCATTTATGCTTTCTCCACTGACAGTCATTCAGGGTGATTATAGTTAACTAAAATGGAAACTAAAACTAAAAACAAAAAAACAAAAAAAAATCATTATTTGAAATAAAATTTAACTTAAATAAAACAAGCATTAACTGATATAAAATAAATTATAATATATAAAAATAGCATTTCTTAAAAATAAAAATTCATAAAAAATCTATATAGTGTGTGTGTGTGTGTGTATTTTTTAATGACAAAAACACAATAAAATTACTTAAACTTTAACTAAAATTATAATGAAAATGGAAAATATTAAAATTAAAACTCATTCAAAATATTAATAAAAACTATAATAGTATCTCGATAATGCTAAAACAACACTGTGGTCAATCAAAAATAACATTGCATTCGAACTTTGTTTTATTTTGTATTCCAAAAATGTTTGCGAAAACAAATAAATTGGAATTAATTCATTGTTAATAAAATAGTTGACGTTATATTCTATTATATTCTTGTGTTTATGTACAGAAGGCTCCTAAAAGCATGAATTTGACTTTTACTACCTTTAACTAACATGCTCAACAAGATTCAAGTTGACCATAAAGTGACAACTCTATAAAACTGTATGAAAACTGTATAAAAATATCTACTAATATAAATAAAATAATAAAATAGAATAATATTAAGAATTTTGATTATATTATTCACATGAACATGTAACTACTGAAAATGACAATGCAATCTCATTTATTTATATTTATAATTTATATTATATTATGTGATATAGATATCATATATATCCAATTATTATATTCTAATCCAAATGATTAATATTTAGATTATTAGATGTTTTATGGGGCTCCTGAAAGCATGAAACTGACTAACTTTAATTAACACGTTTAGTACAGTTTTCTTCACACTGTTTTCTGCTGTGACAGTACTCGACCTTAAAGTGAAAACTGACCATAGAAGCAGAGAGTTTGTTAATATCGGCTATAGCGTCTCATGACAATTCTGTCAGTGCAATATGTGCACATTTTGTTGCGCAGTGATCAAGCTTGCATAACTAGAAGTGTCTGCATTTCAGGCAAATGAATAGTGGGAGGTGTGTGTGTGTTCAGTGTCTAAGCCTTCTTATCAGAAGGATATCCTCCCGCTGAGGATCGATGCTGCTCTTTCTGCTTCACAGCCATATTCAGACACACATGATGCACAGACATTATTTGTGTGAGTGTTTGAGAGCTAACAGAGCTCGCTCTCTTTTCTAATTACCCAGTTGTTTTATCATTAGTCAGTTAGGGGACTTGGTTTTCTCTTGTCTCTGGATCGTATTTGCTGCATGAAAGACTGATTAGCACTTCAAAGTTCTCGTTCACCCAGCAGCTTTCAAAGTGCAGCCGATGGTGTGCATGATTTTCTGCCTGCTCTCCTCTCATTGATCTGTGGAAAGCAGCCGTCTCCAGGATCCCGAGGCTGATAAAGGTGTGCAGTAGTGCAAACACGGCTGACGGCTGAACCTGTGACCCTTGACGTGATGGAGAGCGAGTGTGTGCACCTCAGGAGACCCGTCTCTTCCTCACATCCTTCCCAGGGTGCACTGCATCTCCCATGTGGCTGCTTTGTTGGTGTTCGTGTTCAATTACCGTCACTCTCATTAGCAGCCGCCATTTCACTGCTCTTTTACATAAACTTTTCTAACAAAAGAACTTTCACATTATATTTTGCCCCAAATAAAATCAAGGAAATGTAATGTAATATAATAATATGTATTATATGTTATATTATATAGTACATTTTAACCACAAAATTCATATCTGTATTGCATGTGAACATTTTACTTTTAATTAAAATTAAATTCAATTAAAAATAGAGAATTAGCTAAGTTTACTATTTTCTTATTAGATCCATATTACTGTATAGTCAATAATTACGGCAATGGTTTGCTTAATTAATAAAAAGAGAGTTAATTAAAGCATTAATTAAAGAGAGTACAAAAATTGTACCATAATGTATAAATGCTTGCAATAATATATTTTATTATTTTGTGCATTATAGTAATATATTATTAATTTTAATTTGTGTAATATTCAGAAATAGAAAAACGGGTATATATCAAATTTAAATATATGAATAATATAATATAGAAAAAAAGAAGAAATTATATTTAGCATGGAATTATATATTATATTATTAAAAATATATATTATAAATTTAAAACACAAAATGGTAATTTAAAATTTAAAATGGTATAAATACAATGTATAAATACTATAATAATAATAATATATAATATT